TGTCACGGTTATTCATAAACAGCTTCTAACATCTCTCACTTAATGAAGAAGAATTGCTATCGATAACTTTGAAGATAAAAGTGTTACTGAATAAATATCAACCTTCCAGTAGAAACCAGTATTATTCCTACATTTTAGTTTCTTCACTCTTGAACAAACAATTTTTCTTTATGTTGAACCTCTAAAACTAATCGGGAATACTGAACCAAAAGGGGGAAAAAAGGAAAAAGAAAAAGAAAAAAAGAAAAAAGAGATACCCTGCAAGGCCTAGAGGCTGTGCCAAATGGTCTTATATAACATTAATTCTCCTTGCGTTTTCCTTGGGAGGGCTTGAGCTTCCATGATGGAGCTTAATCTAACTTGTACATATACTGTGATGGTGTGCATGCACTTGAATCAGCTAGCTAGCAGGCAAGACGGCTGAAGCTGGGGAGTAGCTGCCAGAGGTCCTCTCCTTAAAAATGATATTTTTTAAGCTTCCTCTCGCTATAGTATGAAAATCTAATTCTGAAAGAGGGAGAGCTGACCTGAAGCATCATTTGCTAGGGTTGGTGGAACATCTGAAAGAGGTGCAGCAGGCATGTTGACACTTCTGCACCCGCATCGGCAAACGTACAATTAGTACAGTCAATGATAGTGCACTCCCCCATGTGGCCCAAGTGACCATGCTTCTCCGTGTAAGAAGCAAGGTGAAGCAAGGTGAAGCACGGCCCATGATCCTCAAATCGACTCCTCGACCGGCAGTGGAATAAATACTAATTTATTAATCATGTTTTTACAATAAAAAAAAAAAAAACAGTCAATGATAGTGTTGAGAACTCAGGTTTTCTTTGGTATTCTAGTTGCTTTGACCCAGCCTACTTTACTTTGTCAAAATTAAAAGTAGAATTGCTTTGAATCCCAACCCCACATTGCCAAAAATTCCGACGGTTCAAAAAAAAAAAAAAGTACTTAGCGAAAGTTTATCATGTTAATGGGAAAAAAAAAGAAAAAAAAAAGAAGAAGCAACTCAAAATAAATTCAGAAAAAAACCTTCAAAGTTCAATTATGTATCAACCTTGTCATTGAGAAGAAACTAAACCAATTTTATTCTCCACATCAGTCTATTAATCACTAGTTTAATAGTTTAATTAAACAGATACTTCATATTTCCCTGTGGTTAAGATAATTTTTAAGTCATCTAACATATCTCCTTAAAAATAGTTTCACAGTTGAAAAATTAAGGATTGAGGTGTACCTGTAAGGAGTTTTGTTTTTTGATCAAAAGTTGCAACCCAACTTGGTGCTCAGAAACTGCAAACCATGAATGAAGGATGGAAATAATTGCAGCTATCTAGAAAACCTACACCAACTACCAACTTGAATTTATGAGTTCCAAATTTTAAGGAGAAGGGAAAAAAAAGAATTTAGGGAAAATGGGAAGGGAGCAATTTTCTCCACTAAATCACGCAAGGAAAAACGTCCTTGGGCCATGGAAAACTTCAGGTATTGCAAAAGAGCAAAACACACACACACAGTGAATCTCATATAACAGGAAAAAGAACCCAATATCAAGAGAAACAAATAAAAAAAAATTTACACACTTTCTACTTTATGGCACTTGTGAACCACAGGCACAAAATGCTGATTATAGTGCTGCTCCAAAGAAATGGATTATGAAGTAAAGATAGAATTGAATGAAATGCTATCCTTCAACAAGACAACCATACCTCTCTGCTACCATCCAAATCCCTAAAAAAAAATTAAGAAGCCCAGCAATTACATACAAAAAATTGCAAGTTATAGAAATTAGCAATCAAATAGGATCATGGTAAAAGGCAAATTTGTATCTAAGTTGTTTCTTGAGTGACATGACAGCAGGATCATGCAACAACAAAGAAATAGCTTCAAGAATCACACAACCTAAATATCAACT